CTGAAGTGAAAGTGTTGACTGGTGTCACTATCTCGCGAATGCGCTGGCAGATCTCCACCAAATTTGGGGGATCCCTTCAGCTCGAGGAGTCCCCTCGAACGCCACCCTCCGCGTGTCGGTAGCCCCCCCGGGATCGCTAGATCGGTCTGCGCCGGACCGCGTATTTAACCACCCGTAACTTCCGAACCCCGGGGGCTATCGATGCAAGGGTGGTCTCATTCGAAAGAGGGCCTCGAGACGTACACTCGAGTCGCGTTCGAGAGGGTTCCTCGAGCTGAAGGGATCCCCCGCATTTGGTGCAGATTCACCATGGCTTTACGGAGATATGGCCGTTCAAAGTTTCAGTGGTTTTCCATAGACTTACGCTTTAAAGCGTTTCATCCAGGTCGCCAGTAGCAAACAATGGAGCACGCTCTGCTGGACAAACTAAGTAATTACACCATTTCAAGCATTTTATCTGCGTTATATGTTCTGTAAAAAAAATTTTTATATCGGCGGCATATTCGCCAATACCGATATATCGGCGACAGGCTCATATCGGCCGATAATATCGGCTAAACGATATATCGGTTGGGCTCTAGTTATAAGTATTAGTATTAGAATTTATAGAAATCGATCGACATTAACAAAGATGGCTAAATGCTGGGAAAGTACTGTTCATTATTTGTTACCTATTGCATTAAATAATATGAACACTTACAGTAAAGTTTATTTTTGTCTTCAAACATCCTGAAATTAGATAAATGAGTTTCTTTAAATTGGTCTGAGTTTACATATATACACATGCATTTACACACATACATATTTACATATTCATGAGAAACCCCATTATATTGGATAATATAATGTAATATATAATGTAGATGATACTTAGAGATGCATAATTCTAATTAATTAATTATATAATTCCGGCGCCGGACCGCGAATTTAACCACCCGTAACTCCCGAACCCCGGGGGCTATCGACGCGGCGGTGGTCTCATTCGAAAGAGGGCCTCGAGACGTACTCTCGATTCGCGTTCGAGAGGGTTCCTTGAGCTGAAGGGATCCCCCGAATTTGATGTGGAATCGCCGCGCCGTTACGGAGATATGGCCGTTCAAAGTTTCAATGGTTTTCCATTGACTTAAGCTTTAAAGCATTTCATCCAGGTCACCAGTAGCAAACAATGGAGCACGCTCTGCTGGACAACCTAAGTAATTACACCATTTCAAGCATTTTATTTGCATTATATATTCTGTAAAAAAAAAATTCATATCAGCGGCATATTCGCCAATACCGATATATCGGCGACAGGCTCATATCGGCCGATAATATCGGCAAAACGATATATCGGTCGGGCTCTAATTAAAAATACAGGAATTCTTACCAGATTAATACTTGGAAAGAAAGAATCATTCTAGATTTTGTTGGGGAGTGCATCTGCATAGAAAAAAAAAGTATAATAATAAGAAAAACTTTTAGTGTAAATCCCACAGCTCGGATTCAGTGCAAACTAACATGGTGGCACCCATCACCCATTATAGATCAACTAACATGGTCATTATAAAGGTGTTTAAGCTACCAAATACATTTACTTACACTAAATTACGAAATTACCAAATTACTGAAAGAGTTGTTACCTGTAGCAGAAGAACCGCTTCTCAATGACAAATTCTAATTATGACGTCAGGTGCGTTCAAGTCTCTTTGAACCGAACAAGATGGCGATTTAACTTTTCTACATAAAATTCAATCTACAAAATGATGAATAAAGAATGTGCATCATTGTGTTTTTGCTTTTTTCTGTTTTTATTCAATTTATGAAGGTGATGTAAACTGAATCATTATATATTCTATGGTAATTAATATTTCGTACATGTAACTTGAAAATTACATGTTCAACAAATTTACTGTCAAAACAGATCCTGGATATCTATAGTCTTTGGCTGCATCCATTGCATCCGACACGTTTTTTTACTGACACGCCCCCAACTCATATGTGTTCAACTCGTAATACGATCTATCCGACATGACTTGAACGCACCATTACTGTTGCCTAAAAAACTCACAAACTTTGCATTGATTGAATGACAATATAAAATCCATTTACTGTGGCAAACACTGCTCACAATAGCATGAAATAGCATGACATGAAAGCCAATCAGTGAGTTCTGCCCGGTGGATAGTTACGTGAAGTAGAAAACACTGGCTGTTACTGTCCGGTTCACTGTAACTGATAAGGCCTTCGTGGTCCAGCCATCCCTCTGGCATTCACGGGAGCCAGAATCTAATTATTTTCCCTGCATGGTCCAATGAGCCCTAAAGGTTAATTATTGTCTGTCTGCATGATACCCGACTGCCAGTGCACAATAAAAGCTGTTAGTCGCTGCAGATAGCAGCTAATGTCAGACTGTGTGTATCCAAGTGGCCGACATGAGTTACCAGGTGCAGTCATGAGGAGGATTCTATAGGAAACTTTCTTTCTGGCTTCATTTACTATGAAGACTAGCATGTTTGCTTTGTACTGCAGTGCAAAAATACTTCATAAAATATTTTCAGGGTAACTGACAACATGTAACAGATGCTCAGTAGAACATAAGTTGCATTGAACATGGAACAAAGCTACAAATTTTCCTTTTCCTTCTGAGAACAGTGATAATGCTAACATTCAGCCTAGCTTTACTTTGTCAGGCACAGCAGCTCCTCTTTAATCCCCTAAAAAATACTGTCCTTCACTGGGCTGTTGCAAATTCTGGCCGATTTAGACAGCATCTGTGTGCTGTCCGTTCCCATGCACGTCATTGTTTAATTTAGTTTGTATATCAGAAAGAAGGCACAAAACAGCAGTGACAGCTGGGGCCTTCACCAAATAATCCCTCTCTTTCTCTCCTTTTCAATCACTAACTCTCTCTTTCAAGGAATACTTAGCCAGTAAACATGGAGGTCAACAGTTTTGAATCCTGTTGAACTTGAGTGAGGGTTGTGCACACGCAGATATGCAAGGCATACAGGCATCTATCTATCTATCTATCTATCTATCTATCTATCTATCTATCTATCTATCTATCTATCTATCTATCTATCTATATACTGTATGCATCTATACATCTCTTTATCCATCCAACTATCCATCTGTCCGTCCATCCATTGATGGCTTATTAAACTTTAAGTTTCAAGTTTAAAATGGTCTTGACACACTTTGCATTTCTAGTAGGGATGCGCCGATCCGATATTCATATCGGGTATCGGCTCCGATAGTGCCATTTTTCTCGATAGTGCTCAAAATCCGAGATTTTTTTTTTCCTTTTTTTTTTCTCTCCAATTGTTCGAATTATTCTGTGTTACTTCTGAAGCCATACGATAGCTTAATGTGAGCTACATGTGAATATTTAAGTCCTTACATTAAAGTTCACACAAACTCTTTTCTCCGCTGTGGCTGTCAGTCATTCGTTCAGCCTTTAAAGTTTAAACCCTGGTCACGTTCGGTTACAGCAGTCAGCTCGGTAAAGCTCTCTCCAAGATCATTCTGTGTTCCTATTATATTTGATTTGTAAATACATGTCTATGATTTTGCAAAAAGGACTTTATCTTCTTGCTGGAGTTTAATGTTGTTTTGTTACTTGCTACCGGGTGTCTGTGAGAACAAAACACGGGCGTAGAAAAGACTATAAATAGTTTTTAAC